CCAAACAAATATCTGCTTGCGTGTCCCTGTGTATGCAAAGGGTCCTCCTTTTTGATGTGAAGGAAGAGGCCACCCTAGTATCGAGTTACACTTACAATAAAGTTAAGAACAAATTTGAAGTGGGAAACATATCTGACAATGGTAGAATCATACTGTACTTTATCTTCTATATCTACAGTGCATATAGTTTGAATAGTTCTGGACAAAGTTGAAGCTGAAGAAGCTGGAAAGGCATCAAATCAGTTTAATTTGTAAATGTCCTGTTGGTTTGCTTCAAATGTGACCAGGAAGGCTCACTGTGTGTTTTCCAGACTAAAATTTGACTGATTGTTTCACTTTTTAAAAAATAACATAAGATTAAAAAAATCTAACTTTTAGGACTCCAAAACTGCTGATGCTGCTGCAAAGCAATTTGGGAAAGCTGTGGCTGTCATGACATGATTAAAAGACAACGCACTCAGAGGCTTTAGAGAGGTCAGGTGATGGTTGGGGGGCGGGGTGGATTACTAAAGGCATGAGCGAAAGACAGATTGATGAAAAGCCACCGAGTGAAAGATGAGAAAAAGGGAAGGAAAATAAGAAGTGTTTGGAGAGGATGGGGGGGTTGGGGGTGGTGGTTGGGCGGGGTCCGTGCATAATTACATTTTCTGTTCTGAGCAGTATTGGGAATCAATAATGTAATTCATAGAAAAGCCATAGAGCTGCCTCCCATTGGCATTCACAGACATGAGCCGTGCTTACATCCCAAAGAATTAAAACAAGAAGAGGGGGTAGAAGGGGGAAGAGAGAGGAGAGGTGGGTGGGGTGTGGGTGGGGGGCAGCAGTGTCTGTCATTGAAACAAAGAAATCACCCTTTGTTCATCCTGAGCCTTTAAATCTCCTCCACAATGCCTCACAAAAAGCTTGCGACTTTTAGTTTCCATTACGACATGATTGACGTTTTCAGGGAACTAAATTGGGAGAGGGTAGGTACACTGACTCGCAGCCAACAGCACAAAAATTCAACGACACAGGATTTACAGGTACATTCAATTAACAATGCCATGTATTTTTTCCTGGCTATTCATTGTGTGAACCACAATATCAATATCAAGTCCAACGTATTTGTTATTTCACTATTGATTGCATCTAAGTTCTCACTTTATTTTTAATCCTGGACAAGAAAGCGTATTCAGGCTGGATCTAGGGACTGTATATAAAATAAAGAAAATATCTCTTTTAAAATTATTTGTTACATTATTCTTTTGGACCTTTTCATGCCTTTATTAGATAGAGACAGTTGAAGATAGACAGGAAGGGTGGGCAGAGAGAGAGGGGATGACACACAGCAAAGGGCTGCAGGTCGGATTTGAACCTGGGCTGCTGCAGCAACTCAGTATGTGGGTCGCCAGCTCTACCGAGTTAATCAGGTACCCTTCTAACCAGACAGCAATGCATTTTTGGTGGAAGATCACTTCAATGTTATCACTGCAGCTAGCAGGATTTTGGGTGGCACTGGCATCTGTAATATTATTTTCGAATAATAAATGTGTTAAATTTGCCATTTATGCCATCAGCCTTGAGGTTTTTATCTTTTTTCGCTGACCTTTTGCGCTCCACCTTTATGCTTTTTCAGTCATTTGCATTTTCAAACTCTGGTCTTTCTTTTTTCTGCTGTATATAAAACCTGTACATATTATTTTCAAGCATTACAGAAATATATAAATAAAAAAAAGAACTTAAATATTCGCTCCTAATATATACATACCCTAATCCTAACAGCATATCTTGATAAAGAAGTAAGCCAACATAAATTACTCCTCCAAAAGAATTTTAGTCACTCATTACCATGAATTAAAAAAGTAATAACTCAGGTATTTTGAGCGCATTTAAATTTTTTTGAGTGCATTTAAATTTGGCCAATATTTTAAGTGTTGTTGACGATTCCAGTTTGTTCCATTGACTCATTTTCATTAATTTGACTTTTTCATGCTTAAATTGTTCAAGTTAATACATTTAAATTGTTTCCTCAAACAGTTTGGTGGAACTACCTTATTAGGTTTTACAGTGTTGAAACAAGTAAATATATAAATACAGTGTATACACATAAATATAATAAATAATACAATGAAAAAAGATAATAACACTCATTGTACACTCCAAGACACTGTAGAATATGGAAAAATAGATGGTATGTGAGATGTATGGGATGTATACTTGGAGGTAAAAGCAAAAGTTGAGTAGGAGGGCTGAGCACTCTTAGATAATAAACCTCATTGCATTAACTGTTATTTCTTCTTATCAAAGCACATATTTTTTAAAGTGTAAGGAAATATGAAGGAAAGTAATATTTACGTACGTACGTAAGTTTTTGTTAAAAAGTACGACTTCCACTATTTCCAACATCTCTGGGTGTCAATATGGAGACAGTTCTGTCTTTCCCCACTGATAAAAAGATCCCCCACACACAGACACACATCCTCCCTTTGTTCACATAATCACAGCTGGTTGTTGTGGGGTCAGATGTGAAATGGCAGTTCCTCCTCCAGATACTGCCACAGCGTATTTATAGTGGGCTAAGGTGAGGTTCCCTACTGAAACCCAACAGCACATATCCCAGCACGAGAACATGTGTGACAATGTAAAAGTCGAACTCAAACACACCCACAGCAAGTCGCACCCTTAACTCTTTAGTGTTGTCGAAGATACTCCAATGACAATGTCCAACAAATTTTTTTAATAGTTAGTTGGAATTCCCAACTTTGATAGTAGTAGTAGTAGTAGTAGTAGCGAAATGCCTAGTGTACATATATTGCAAGAGAATCTAACTGAATATAACTTCAAAGAAATAGCATGAACTTGCTTGATTATTCTTGCCAGATAATGCCCAAAATCTCATTACTCAGAGAAAAGTAAAAAACCTGTTTGGACTTGTACTGTACTGTGGCTTGTAACACATACTATAAACGGAAAGTTAAAGGTGGCCTTCAGCAGGTCTAAAATAAACTCCTTTTAGCATGATTTCTGTCCTGTAAAAGATCTTTAAAAGGCCAAATCACAGAGCACAGTGGAGCCATTAGGAGAGAAGCTGTCAGAAATCCTGTCCTCCACTTGAAAGAAGCCAAGCGTTCCATCCCTGCCTTTTCTTTAGCGGGGATCAAGAAGGTCTCTCAGCCCAAGACACATGAAACCGGCAGAGGGATTCTTGATTTTTTCTTTTCCATTTGAACATTCTACTCCCAAATGAAATGCATGAGAAATTAAATTGTACGAAATGCTGCTTTGCTGTAATGTGTCTGACTGTGAGACGGGATATTGTGTTTTATAAGGTTTCAACCATAAGACATTCACTAGTATCTGACTGCTATTTGCACCAGCTAAGATTACTATGTTCACTGAAATATTTAACCATGAGTGCAACCCTGTGAAGGTTGATTGTTCGCCTTTTTATTTTAGAATATTTTTATACAAAAGGACCTGATAAGGTAATACCCAGTTCCATCTTTTATTGCATCAACTTGTTACCAAATCACAATTTTTGCTTTCAACTAATCATATCTCCCCAGGACAGGAATGACCTGCACTGTCTGATGAGCAACAAAAGGATAGGTACATCAAAAATCAAATATAGAAATATGGGTAGAATTGTCAAAATGGAGACAGTGAATATTCCAACAGCAATGTCAATGTTGATCTGCAAACAAATTTTGATAAATTTCTGTTCAAGAAAATCCTCAGATTATGGCCAGATTAAGCTGTTGGGCCCCCAGCAGACACGTATTCTGTTGGGCCCTATTGATCAACTATATTCCATTTCTACTCTTTGTGAATTGTGTTTGTTCCCTTGGGCCTTCATGTTCTCGGCTCACACAGTAGACTGTACAGTAGGTTCATTGTAGGCTCAGAAACCCAGAGAAGAACCAGCACTTCTGTGCTGGAACAAAACCACCCTAGCCGTAGGTTTTTTTAAATAATAAAGGTCTTGAGACCAAAGAATTGCTAAAATGCTGGACCAACCTTGGTTAGGTACACACATTAGTGATGCAGAATCCTTCACAAATTTGCAATTAAGTGAATTACAAACACAGATTGACATGCAGTGAACCTGCAAGTTTTGGTCATCAATTTTTGAAGCCCCCTGACCAGTGCAAAACATCTTTCACCAAAGATGAGAGAGCCTGTCTAAAGAGGTATCATACATTGCTGTACCATCAGTCTATTTTTTAAGTTTATTGAACTTGCATTTACAAGTTGCAGTACTCCAGTGTACCCCTAGGGGTACATGTGTGGGGTCTTGGTGCCCTGTTGGTAATTTACAGTTTTCAGGATGATTTTTTCGAGCAAAGGACTTCAAGCCACAAGGAACATTAATTTAATCATCACACTCGCTAAGTGAATGCTGACATTAATAGATAATGTGCAGACATGATGAAAAGCCCTTATCATGTATCATCTTTTTAACTGCAGAGGATGTACCTAAATTTAGCTACTCAGAGAACTGTCTCAATTAGACACATTCCATCTTCCATTTCATATTATTGCACAAGATATACTGTATAGAACACTGAAGAATTATTTTTAGAATCACACTAATATTAAGACCTTATATAAGAAAAGCCAAAGCAGACCATCAGCAACAGCGAAAGCTGATATTTGTCTATCTATTTCCTTCCTATTTTATTTATTTCTGAATTTTTTTGATGCAGCTAAATCCATTTAGTCTCACTTGTGAAGCTGTTCACCATGAACTAGTGCTGAGGACCGAGGTTGTCCTTAACTGAATGTGAGGTAGCTTGGTCTGTTTTCTAGACAGTTAAGTTCCACAGTGTAGTTCTTCTTTGTTGTTGACCTTTGTGCCCACTGTGAATGTTATTATGAGGCAGCTTGCGTGGTAAGGCAGCTAAGGACACAGTTGGCTGTCATCCTGCCCAGCAGGTATCCAGGCAGGGTAGCAGAGTGCTGCTGAAGCTCTGCTGCTGTTTATACTAACCCGCCTGTCCCTGTGTCCTTCTCCCCTGCAGCGCTGACAGGAAGCCAAGCCGAGTCCCAAGCCCCTATCCAAGGCCTTCGTGGAGCCACGGCCGACGGGACACGACACAGGAGAGCAGCCACTGAGGAGACCTACTGGGCCTACTCAGGTGTGTGTCTGTGTCTGTACTTCTTTGTCCGTGAGAACCAGTCTGAGTCTCTCCCGTGTGGAAACTGGTGAGCCTTCAATTGTTTAAGCAGGGTTTCCAGGCGCTGTAGAACATTTGGAATGACACTTTTCAGTACTGGAAAAAAGCTGGAAAATGACAAGAAAAGCTATGTATCTGGAGAAATTATTATTCTATTTCTGTCTTTTTATTTTGCCACAAAGGCTGTCGGAATTGCTGAAAGATAGTTCAGGATTAGATGGGTAATGGATTAAGTATTTTGGGAAGGTTTTGGGAGGCTCTGGACCAGAATGTTGTGAGCTGTTGGTCACATACACATTTGGTTAGGTAGCTGATGTATGCAGCAGAGCCTGTTTTAGAAATGTTAGGGATTTCTGGGATAGCCCTGCAAGAACTGGGATGTTTCAGGTGTGTGGTTCCAAAACCTCAGAACAAGAAAAGTGTCCCACATACCAAAGACGAAAAGAGTTTATTGACGTGGTGAAAATGTCAGAAACAGAAACTGAAACAGAAACTGCACTTAATTTTATTCAAGAGACAGTTCAGTTAACACAAAAGCAATGCCAGTAATTACATACGGTTCGTAGAGAAAGCAACAAAGATAGGCAGGTTAAAGCAGCTTAAATAAGGCGCCATGAATGATATGTGCCAATTGGATGCTTGAGGGAATCAGCTGAGCTGTCAGCTGACTGTGTATGGTTTCCAATAGGAATCTTAGGAGGAATCAGCTGAGCCATCAGCTGATGTGTGTTTACAATTAGCTGTGATCAGCTGATGTAGCTTGAATTGAGAACTGAGCTTGACTTCGTGGTCTGCCTGAACTAACACTGTGCTTAATATATTTAAAAAGATTTGTTATTCAGGGTAGAATGTTGTTTTGTTTCTTTAAAAGTTTGGATAAAATGTCATCCCAGACAAAGATGTCCTTCACATCTGAAGTACTAGAAATGTTCTGAAAAATATGATTATAAGATTTAATTCCTGTAATTTTCAAATCAAAATATAAAACTACTATGTACAAAAAAATCAGAAGTTGTTAATGTCAGCTTTAGCTATTAGCTAATTATTAATACATGGGCAGGAACTAACAGAAGAGTTACCAGACATGAAACAGCATACATAGTCTCTTCCACACTAACAATTATACAGACAAATCTACAGGCACACATCAACATATAAATACCATATTCATCCGGTACAACTACGAATATCAACAATCTTTCTCCAGAATCATTGACTTCACCTCTACGGGGACCATTTAAATTCAACACTGGTGCAGATCAATTAATCCTATTTTTCGCATCATGGCGAGTTGAACATGCGCAATAAACACATTGCAAAAGGCTGCCTGAAACTTATTGAATAAGAAATATAATTTTACTTACACAAACATTGCCTTTACCTTAAACATTTAACCAGATTAGATGGAGCCCTGGCTGCATGCGCCATGCATTCGCACCTTTTAGCTAATCAGATGAAGCCCTAGCAACCGGACTGCTATCCTGAGATTAAGTGATGTCAGTTCGTTGTGGCGTGTACAATGGGGGCAGTTTTTTCAATAAAAGTATTTTCAAAATAATTTATTTCATTTCCTCAATCAGGGGGCATTGGCTATTCAGTGTTTGGGGTCTTTGTTAGCAGTGTACTTATTAAAGCAGAAAGACATAGAAACTGTGTCGCTAACATCCACACTTCAGTATTTCTTTATTTATTGCAAGTCGTTTAGTCGTCGCAATATTGAACGCTATCGCACATTGCAGATTTTCCTCATACAGTGCAGGCCTACTCCACACTTCTGTATCACATTGAAAAAACGGCCTTTATATCATTGGCCTTTATTTAATTGTAGAAAATTCAGTAGGCCTGCTGGTTTAGGCTCAGGCTTAGATGTTAGAACTATCAGTAAGTGGAAGGCTTCACAAGTACAGTAAGAAAAAGTTGTGTGATTTAGAGCATGCTGTGTGTGTGTGTGTGGGTGTGTGTTTTAGAGTGAAAGCAGTTATGTGCCACTGTCAACGCAATATGTTTGCTTTCGTCTTTCCTTCTCTCTCCCCATCTGTTTTTCTTCTTCCCTCAGCTGCTCTCTTCCTCATCTCTCCTCTGTGCTCCTCTGGCCTCGAGGCGTCTCTGGGCCCTTTTTTTATTTTACCAGTGCTTCAGAAGAGAAAAAAGACACTTCCGCTGTCCCTTTAGAGCCTTTAGTTTTTCAGAGGGGCAGCATTAATCTTTCACCATGCGAGTGACACGAGCCCCAGGCCACAAATGATCTTTCAGTTTATTTATTTCAATATTTCCGCTGGCTCGTCTAACCCTAATTGGTTGCCCGCGAGAGTGCAGGAGCTTGTGGGTAGAAAAGGAGCCGGTGACACTTTCACTTAGTGTTGCTGCTGCTGATGCTAAGATCTACCGATGCTCTCCTGCTGTCCCCCTGCACATGTTTGAATGCAGCTCTTACATAAGATGCTGATGTAACGGTAGGCAGGATTCAGGCAAGAGAGGAAAACAATAGAGAGACAGCAGGCTGACATACTGGTGGATATTTTATTTTTATGTCATTGTAAGAGCCACAGGGAGTAGAAGTTGTATAAAATTCAGTTGTGTCAATGTTGACCCAACGTGGGTCTAACTGGGCAGTATTACGTAAGGTAAGCACAATACTTTACTCATCACTGTCATTGTAGGGACTGTGGACAAAAACATGCATGTTAAAGTTTTACAACAGAATCCTCAGTGCAACCTAAACTTAATCAAAAGGGGTGGCAGGTACAATGAGGTGCCCTCTTTGGTGCCCTTCTAGTGGACAAAACACAATAAAGTGACCTCTCGTGTGTGCTTGCTGTGGTAAAGTGCCCTCTAGGGTGTCCTTTGGACAAATAACGTGCCCTCTAGGGAGCCCTTCCAGTGGAGAAAACATAATGAAGTGCCTTCTAGCGTGTCCTTCCAGGGGACAAAGCATGATAAAGTGACCGCCACGATGTCCTTCCAGTTGAAAAAACCTGATAAATTGCCCTCTAGGGTGTCCTTCCAGTGGACAAAACATGATAAAATATTCCCTATGGTGCTCATCCTAACCCTGACTACGGTAATTCACCATAGATGCATCACAACAGAGTTCACAGCTGGAAGGAACACGTTTAAGGGATATGTTCAGTTAAAATGCAGTTAATGTATGATTGTTTCATGAAAATCCTTTGCATTGCTCCACTCTCCTTCATTATAGACGTTCTCTCCTCTCTGATGACTTCTCCAAAGTTTCCTAAACTTTGGTCCGTCCTAATTAGCTTGTTCTTATCGTGTCCTCCAGAGGTCTGACAAACTCCAATCAGGACCTCAGTGGGCCATGGCTGTTCTGCCCTCTGCCTGATCAGAATGGCAGATTAAATGCGGGCACAATGCTGACAAATCAGGAGTTATCTGGGGAGGCTGTATACCTTGAGAATGAGAGAAAGAGGCAAAGAGACGGAAAAAGAAAAAGATTCACTCAGCTACGCTGTGCCTCTGCTTCACTACCACTGCTGGTTCGCAGTTAATCTGTGATGTATGTGTGCCGCGTATACCAAGCGGCAACCTCTGACACTTTTAGTTTTTAAGGAAATTATTCTGATCATTTCAGAAGATTCAAACGTAGGAGATAAGATACAATTGCAGCATGTGACAATGAAATTCACATTGGATGCTACGGCAAAATGAGGGACTGAACCATTCGGTTGGGTTTTTGACAAATATGACTCGGTGCTTTGTTGCCCATTGCAACAATGAAACATTCTGAATGTGCTCCAACCCTGACTGACCTCTTCTCCATAGAAATGGCAGCTGAGGCTCATGGGTATCCGAGCAGAACATACTTGATTTTTCATAAATGAAGCTGAAAGAATTCAAACTAATGACCATTACAAAAACTTATAGACTTATTCTAATTCTAATATTGTTAAAATAGCTATGCATATTTGCTTTCTATCAGAGAGTGAGGAGAGTAGATGAAAATTGGAGCTGGAGATAGGACATGGTTAGAAGCATAGCATAAAGACTAGAAGCAGAAGGAAACAGCAAGCTTGGCTGTTCAAAACATGTAGAAATTAGTGTGAAACAAGTGTATTTCCAAAAATGTTGAGCTATTCCTTCACAAGAAGTACTGAATCGGAGATGTACGGTGAGCTGAGGCGGCTCTAGAGGGGCTAGAGAGTTTAGTATGAAATGCTGACAAATTTAACACATTCATTTAGATGAATTAAAATAAATAAATAAATAATCTTATGATCTGTTATGGCCACATTTGATAGTGATAGGCTTAAGTTCAACGAAAAAAGACAATTTTTTGACATAAAACAACTTATCTATTTCTAATGCTACCTTTAGATATTTCTATCCAGTGCTTTACTAATGTGCCACAATCATGTTTTTGAGTTCAGATATCTTCATTTGGGACCCACCCCTTAAAGTTTCGGTGCCACCCTTTGGACACCCTATTATTTTTCTGTATAGATGCGCCCCTGCCTATGAGGAAAAATACTCTCATAATTAAATGGAATGTACTTATATAGCGCATTCCTAGTCTTTGCGACCACTCAAAGCGCTTTACATTACATGCCAAATTCACCTATTCACACACACATTCACATGATGCAGCATCAGGAGCAGTTTGGGGTTCAGTATCTTGCTCAAGGACACTTTGACATACAGCAGGAAGAGGCAGGGATCAACCTTCTGATTAGTGGACAACCTGCTCTACCTCTGAGCCACAGCCACCCCAATTAGTGACACCATCCACTTTACACGACTATTATCCCACAATTACACATAATAAGGCAGCACCAATTACAATCATGTACTGCAAATGACCTAAATAGTGTCCAGTGCTGATTTTTGACAACTGTGTGGGCTTCTACATAGCACTGACTGTAGAGCAAACAGTGACTTGTACTGTATATGTTACTGTAAGCATTAAATGCCAGAAACTGTAGGCTTGGCTAAACTAGACTTGA